TAAAGTATCCATGTGTCCATCACGAATAACAATTATTCATAGTAGTGAGACATACTATATTCTCGAAGAATGTGATGCAGACCACATGTCAATCTATAACGTATCATTAATTTCCCTTTCTTAATGATCATCGATTGAGGCAATTTAAGAGTTATACTCTATCGATTAACATCTCACTCTGTTAATGACAGTATTAACTCAAGGGAGCATTTAATTAATAAATTACAGACAATCAAAAGAATTCATTAATTAATGCAAAACCACGAATATCATCAAATATAATATGAATGTGATCAAGTACATTTGTCCCACATTGATTGTCTCTAGGACACATATACTAACATATTTAAGATTTTATGGATTCTTTTGGGACCAAAAATGTCACCTCCCAAAACCTGTGGGACTAGTTTTGATTTTTTTTTCCTTACCATTGTACTCAGCCACGTCAGATGAATGTGGCCACGTGGCATTCCGAGCCGAAAAATTGAAAAAAGTCCTACTTTTGATCATTTTTAAAAGCTGCGGGACTATTAATATTTTATGGATTCCGTTGGGACAAAAAATGTCACCCCTATACCTGTGGGACTAATAATGGACCGGAAATGGACAAATAAATTACTACACGCATTATCATCCATCCATGCACCTAGTTAACATTATGAACAGTCAACTAATTACTAGCCTCTTCTTTCTCATTCCAATATTTTTAATACAACTGAAATAGAAATTGATCAGCCAAACTCTACTCTACCAATTAGTACTATAATTACATACCAACCAAGCAATTTGAGGTATATATATATATATTAGGGAAATACTACGGTCCCGTTACGGAACCATTCCGTCGTGATTTCACCGTTAGATGTTACGAACACCGACGGAATGTTCCGAAATGGAACCATTTGTATTTCCTAATTATTGGTCACCCAACAAAAAAAAAAAGATACTTCAACATACAAACAACTTGTTAATGCCGCATCAAAATCACCTCATCAGAAAGAGATCACATTACTCATGCCAATCTCCGTATAATCCACAACCTCGACAGAGGCCTCAGCCAGCTTGACTAGACTCATGCTCGCCAGTACCGCCTTAGGGTTGATATCCCTCATCGCCCTTCCATGCACGCTCCGGCATGCCGCCAGCCCGGACCGGAACAGCTCGTCACTCTTTTCCGGCCCCATCACGCAGTGTCCCAATATCCTCAGGATCGGCTGCATCAGCTCCCACGGCAGGTTTATCCTCCCATTGTTTCTGCTGACATCATCACTAACATCATTGTCAGCATCCTCCGGCCCGGCCCAAGCCCGGCAGAGCCTACAGAACTCGATTTTTGACTCGACGGGTATTTCGGAAATGTTGGCGTAGTATAGCTCGAGTGCCACGCCCACGATACGCGCCCGGCGGGTGGATCGGACCGTACCGTGGGGCTCGAGGCTCGGGGAGACGATGGCTAGGTGGAGCTCGGTGGAGGCTCGGTTGGCGGTGGGAGAGGTCTCGTGGTAGAGGCTCGGGTGGGAGAGGTCGGGGATGGTGGCCGTGAGGGCATGGCCAGAGCGGGCGGCGGTCTCGTGGGCGTAGATGGCGAGGAGGACGGATTCGAAGCCGGCGAGGGGCTTGTGGAGGGCTGCGCGGGAGAGGTAGGCGGCGGCGAGGGAAGGGAGGTGGCGGAGGACAGCGAGGCGGAGGTCGGGGTCGCCGGAGTGGAAGGTGTCGTAGAGCCAGGCGCAGAGGGGGTCGTCGGCGGCTCCGGAGTCGGGGCGGCGGATGAGGGCAGAGACT